TCTCTTATTTTGTGTGTGTTTATGTGTGGGTAAGCCTGAGAAGACCTTGTTGGTAGGGCTTTCCCCAACCCTTGGAAACCTCAGGATTCCCAGGCATTCTAATTATTTTGTATGATTTGCTGTTCTTTCTGTATTTACTAAACTAATTCAAGTTTCATTAACTTCTCTCTTCATCTCTGTAGTTAACAGATGTATTTATGTGCATGTAAGAATCAATTAATAATATTTGATTTGTATTTTGACTACACTGTATATTTTTGTAACTCTTCAATTTGGAGGAAATAAAGAAATAATAATAATAATAATAACCTTTTGACCAATGGCTCCATTTACACTTAAAGAGCCATGCAGGTCTCAAGGAAATTAAACATAGCCTGTTTGGTGTAATGACGTTGGAGCAGGTTTTCTGGTTAATTTGACTTTCTAAATATAGCCCACAGTGAGTTTCCTTCACCTCTGCCATTAGTAAATATTTGGTTACCATTTAACGTAAGATCTATATGTATTTGTCGGCACAGTTTAAAGTCACAATGCGAACATTTCCATGTGTTTTTATTGACTATCAGTCTTTTTTTTATATAAATATAAACTTTATTTATTTCACAACAATTATGAAACAAGGTATATCAATTACATTAATCACTCTTGTTGGCCCGGGGTGTCTTAATGTGGGAGGAAACCGGAGTACCCGGCGAAAACCCGTGTTGTCGGGCAGTTTTTTTATCGCGTCATCTTAGGAGTACATTATATTGTTATACTAGCAGAGAAAAACAATCTTGGGTAGAAAGCCCCTATAGAAATCAGGCCTTGTCCTTGGTTCGCATCCGAGGCTTTTTTGTCCTTTCTGTACCCTTGCAAAAGATATCTTGAACACGTGGGACAGTATCTTTATACGTATTGACGTGGTCATAAAGTCATAGCACGTATTGTTTCATTCCCGAACTAAAAGCTGTTAACATTCGTGGATAAAATAACTTTGACAAGCCGACATAATATATCAAACATTGTACAAACAGAGTATTATAGATAACTTTTAATATATCTTCAGAGGAAAAAGTGATATTTAGAAATAAAACAAGAGCTATCTTTAATTGTAATAGAGATATTTAATTGTAATGGAGATACCGTTAATGGTACTGGAGATGTTTTTAATTGTAATGGAATTATCTTTCATTGTAATAGAGATATATTTGATTGAAACAAAGATATATTCAATTGTAATATAGATATATTTAATTGTAATATAGATATATTTGATTGAAACAGAGATATATTCAATTGTTATATATAAATCTTTAATTGCTATAGAGATATATTTGATTGAAACAGAGATATATTCAATCGTAATATAGCTATCTTTAATTGTAATAGAGATAAATTTAATTGTAATATATATATCTTTAATTGTAGAAGATATAATCTTAAATTGTAACGGAGATATCCTTAATTGTAATAGAGATATCTTTAATTGTAAAAGGAACTATAATAGAGATTTTTTAATTATGACAGAGATATCTAAATTGTAATGGATATATCTATAATTATAATATAGATGCATTGTATCTCGAAGAGAAACAAGATATCTTTAACATAATTAAAGTTGTCTTAAAATATCATAATGATATCTTTAAATGAAGTTAATAGGGATATCACATACAGTAAGGATTATTTGAGATATCTCTATTGTAAGATATCCCAATTATTTTATTGAGATATCTCCTTAAATAAAATTAATAAATATTGTTCGTTTGTCAGGAGAAGGAAGAGAGTGGTGCGCCACACTTCAGTTCGAAGTTAGGTCTGATCTGTTCCTGTCTTGGTTGTGTGGTAGGAACTGGAAACATATGGCGCTTTCCAAGAATTGTCGCCAACAACAGTGAAAATGAAGGTAAATATGTTTAACTATTACATGACACACATTTCCCCTTCATCTTCAATTATCAATCAACCGTCTCGGTTAATATCACTTTCTGTGGTTTATATAACCAAACATAATAACATAAGTCCATAATTGATAAATCTAAATTACGAATAAACAACAAAAACTTTAAACACACATATATGATAGTTATTACATATGACGTGGTAGATTTTATTGTAAAAAATTAACCGCGCTTTGACGTGCTTTCAGCTAGCCAAAAATTAAAATGAATGGTCGCCATGGTGATTTAACTGCACACGCGATACATAAAATAATCTTCGTGTTGAATTTGATTGTAGATACTCAACACATTTCGGAAAATCACTCAAATATCGATGGTCAATGGTTATCGAAGTATTTGAAAACAGCATCCAAGCACAATATTTTTTTCATAACTGATTTGGTAGATACAGGATCAGCTGAAATGCAAAATAAGAAAAATCGTATATTAAAACAGAAGCATCAACACTGCATACGTATTGTATTCGTGCGACAGAATTGATTACATAAATAAAAGGTACATTTACACTGTATACACAGCATACAGATACTTATAGTCCGCCTAGTTACAAAAATGGGTACATTAACAAACATCACAGGAGGCCTATATAACAGGCAAACGAGGCATAAACAAAGTCATACATAACGTTATCAAAGATAAGTAGTATTAGATGATAGCTTATAAAACTAGACTATTATGCTAGTATTTGTATACCACACAAGTATTTATAAATTATATGTGTTAAGGGTGTTCGTACCACTGTCAAAACTATATACATGTATAACCACTGCTTATCTAACATGACTATAGCATTGACATTTATTTCTGTAAAGAAAATAATAACTTACGAGACTTTTATGAAAAAATGGAAGATGAAATAAACAAAATAATATCAAAAACAAGTGTTCTGACCGGGATTTGAACACTTGACACAGATTGTGATACTGTCGCTCTGTCTGACTGATCATGAGTTACCTGATCAATGGAAGTGTCCTGGCCAAACTGTGCTACAGTTATATACCCCAATCGAAATCATTTGATAGGAAAAACTGCAGTGTAGTGGTACAGGGATACCTTAAGGATCCATGTCTCACTGCTTTTAGTCTCGTTCAATCAGACGCTTTGTCACTTGTAGCTTGCGCAGACAACAAGAGACTGGTTGAACGAGACTACACTGCACTTTGTTTTTTTCCAAGATAAAGTTACCTCCATTAACTACCGTTTCGTCTGCTGGATAACCTAACTACTCAGCAGTGACTGATCCACTTTCTTCATTCACTACCAAAACTTTACCCTTCTTTCAACTCCCTGCCGTTCAGTCACCATCTTCTGTTTGTTTGTTTGTTTGTTTCGGTTTTACGTCCTATTAACAGCTTCGGTCATTTAAGGACGTACCAGGTTTTGGTGGTGGAGGAAAACCGGAGTACCCAGAGAAAAAAACACCAACCTGCTGCCAGTACCTGCTTCTATCAGTTAAATTAATAGTGTTATAAAAAATAATGTTATAAGAAACTTATGTACATATTTATTTTGTTGTCTTATGGAGAGGACTGTTATAAGCTGTAAAAACGTGTTGTCCGATTCTTGTGAATCATTTGATCAATATGATATATTTCAATTATAACTACGCATGCCTTTTTCTCGAAAACGGTTTCGCTCATTTATGCACAAAGTCCACACATCCTCCTCATCCCCACCTTTCCTACTTTCGTTCGTTCCTTAAATAAACTCTGTGAACCATTTAAAACGATGTCTAAAACAGCTGTCCTGATTCCTGTCCTTCCAGGCGGTCTAGTATTCCTGATAGTGTGGATGATATTCTTATTCCTGTGGTCCAGTCCTATGCTCATTATTGAGTATGGAACTGGACGCTACACAAAGAAGGCTATCATCGGATCCTTCCGCGAGCTGCTCGGTGATAAGGCCGCTTGGTGTGGCGCATGGATATCGATGGTGACATTTCTCATATCGTAAGTATAGCTATTTTCACTTTAAAACTTTAACCACTATGGGAATAAAAGGAAAATACTGCCTTACTGGCAGGCTAGTTTTTCCAGCGATATGGCATGACCCGGGGACCCGCTTTCAATCTAAGCAGCATCGAGCAAAGTCAGTGGGTGGATGGATGGCGCAAGCACGTTACAAAACGAAGGGAACCTTTTTGAATTTATTATTTTGGTTGTAGATCTCCCGATTCTTATGAAATGTTTCCCGACTCATATTTCTTTTTTTGACCGTTAAACATATCTTAACGAAATTTGACGATTCGTGTGTTCATCTAGATACAAGATATAAGATCTGCGACAAATATCATCTCTCACACAAAACGAGCAATGTGCCATTAATAGGTTACTGTTACTTTCATTAAATTCCAAAGTTTAAAACATATGCTAATTTTCCAATAAATGCTTGTACGACCAAAACAGTTAAAAGTAGACAAAAATATGCCGATGAAACCTATACTATCATAGTATGCTTACATTACTCGCAAAAAATGTTCAGAGATCAGTAATCATATGTAAACGAAATTTTACATGCATATATTAAATATTTATTTGTCCTGGGCTCGTGTTTATAACTATTTGTTACTTACAGATGTTACTATTCTGTGGTCCTGGGCTGGTGTTTATAATTGTTTGATACTTACAGATGTTACTATTCTGTGGTCCTGGGCTGGTGTTTATAAATGTTTGTTACTTACAGATGTTTCTATTCTGTTGTCATTGGCTGGGGTTTATTAATTTTTGTTACTTACAGATGTTACTATTTTGTTGTCCTGGGCTGGTGTTTATATATGTTTGTTACTTACAGATGTTACTATTCTGTGGTACTGGGCTGGTGTTTATAAATGTTTGCTACTTACAGATGTTACTATTCTGTTGTCCTGTGCTGATGTTTATAAATGTTTGTTACTTACAGATGTTTCTATTCTGTTGTCATTGGCTGGGGTTTATAAATGTTTGTTACTTACAGATGTTACTATTTTGTTGTCCTGGGCTGGTGTTTATATATGTTTGTTACTTACAGATGTTACTATTCTGTAGTCCCGGACTGGTGTTTTTGAATGTTTGCTACTTACAGATGTTACTATTCTGTTGTCCTGGGATGGTGTTTATAAATGTTTGCTACTTACAGATGTTACTATTCTGTAGTCCCGGACTGGTGTTTTTAAATGTTTGTTACTTACAGATGTTACTATTCTGTAGTCCCGGACTGGTGTTTATAGTTTATAACTATTGGTTACTTACAGATGTTACTATTCTGTTGTCCTGGGCTAGCGTTTATAAATGTTTGTTACTTACAGATGTTATTATTCTGTTGTCCTGGGCTGATGTTTATAACTATTTGTTACTTACAGATGTTACTATTCTGTGGTCCTGGGCTGGTGTTTATAAATGTTTGCTACTTACAGAAGTTACTATTCTGTTGTCCTGGGATGGTGTTTATAAATGTTTGCTACTTACAGATGTTACTATTCTGTAGTCTCGGACTGGTGTTTATAGTTTATAACTATTTGGTACTTACAGATGTTACTATTCTGTTGTCCTGGGCTAGTGTTTATAAATGTTTGTTACTTACAGATGTTACTATTCTGTTGTCCTGGGCTGATGTTTATAAATGTTTGTTGCTTACACATGTTACTATTCTGTTGTCCCGGACTGGTGTTTATAAATGTTTGTTACTTACAGATGTAACTATTCTGTTGTCCTGGGCTGATGTTTGTAAATGTTTGTTACTTACATATGTTACTATTCTGTAGTCCTGTGCTGATGTTTATAAATGTTTGTTACTTACAGATGTTACTATTCTGTTGTCCTGGGCTGGTGTTTCTATTATGTTTTTTACTGCATTGCCAATGAACTTCCGGATGACGACGTTGTCAGTACCGAAATATTCAATGACTTTGCTAAAGTGAGTTTTTTCGTTTCGTATCTAAAAACAAGTTCGTATTTTGCCGAAAGTGAGTTTGTAAACCAATCAAAAACAGCTTATATTCGCATTCATTAATCACTGTACGAGTCAAATGCTATACTTACAACGGAAGTACTCTAAAACGATCTTAAACCGGCTCTGTCGAAACAAAACATGAGCTTCTACAACGAAATATAGTTGATACAATTTTTACACGATTTTTGTCTAAATTGACACACTGAATGCTAATTTACAGGAAAGTTATTGGCCAATCCTGACCCACGCACTGGCTTTGCTGACAGCAGGATTTGCTGTAATCAAGGGCGTCAAAACGTTTGAGAAAGTCAACATGGTGTTAGTCCCGGTGCTGTTGCTGATAATCATGTTTACGTTTGTTTGGTCCCTGACGAGAGAGTATGCGGACTACGGAATTAAGTTTCTCTTCACTCCGGATTGGGGTAAGAAAACATGTCTGAATTGTAATTACAAAACACTGGACATCCGTTCCAGATTGACTTGGTATGCATGATCCGCTTCTATTGATATAACCAACATTAGTAAAACATTTAGAGTAATGACGTATATATACAGCAGCCCTTTAAATGTTGCCTATTTATCGCATCAATTAGCGAGGCATCCTCGATACTCCAGGTGTTACGCTCTCTTACGTTCCCGTCGAATATGTCATGACAAAATTGAAGTCACGAAAGCAGCGATTTCATTTGTTTCATTTAAAAAAACCTGACCAATCACTAGGCTTATACATGTAGCATTATAAAGGAGAGACACTCGACTTCTATCTTACCGCTAAACTGCCTCACAATGCTTTTGGTGTACATCAAAGGATCAAATTAGACTTAATTCGACTGAACCTTCAGTTTTGTCATGACATATTTCAGGGGGCGCAGAGAACGTAAACGAGCGTAACCCCTGGAATTTCGAGAATGTTTGCGAGAAGACATTAAAAAGAAAATTGTCAAATGAAATATATTACAACTACAGGATGGATAGAGAGCACAGGGCATGGCTTATTGGATTTGTAAGACTAACATTCGGAACTTTCTTTTCATTTCAAGAGTCACTCGGAAAGCCTCGTCTATGGGTGGACGCTATCAGCCAGAATGCGTTTGATACAGGTGCCGGGATGGGGCTTATGATCCCGTACTCCTCGTTCATGACACGTGATCATGCTATTGTCAAGTACGCCACTCTGATTCCAGCAACAAATAACGTTGTCAGGTAATACAAATATAAATATATGGAAGTCTTGAGGCACAATGTAAAGGGTACCAACGCATCAGTTGCCAACGCGAAAAAGAGTTCCACTTACAAATTGTTCTTTCCCCACTATTGAGTATTCTACCTTCTACATCTATATAGATGATGAAGCAACCTAAAGGAGTTGCTCTGTCTTAGAGTTACTTCCTTTGGGAAGTTTTATATTTGCTCTCAATCGCTGAGTTTCCCGAATGTTACGGGACGCGTCGGGAGTGATTGGCCGACCTCTCCGAACCATCCCTATCCGTAGGACTCTGTTACGAACGTATGCGACTGCGTTCAGACAATGATAGGACATTCCAGATCATTGAGGATAGTAATCCGACTTTTCCGCTTTTCGTGTCGTAACGCTGTCTGATCTCAAACGGGAGCCATAATCGGCATTGTGTGAACGCCGCATTACGGAACAAATGCCGACGGTTCCCGATTGCATTTGCTCTGCGACCTATACATTATTCATGTATGGTAACAAATGAGATAACAATTTTACATAATGGAGCGGTGTAATAGAGACAGCTGCGGAGTCCTATGCAGTACACAGATAATCTTTTATGTTTAAAATGTTATGCCAAAGCTTGATATGTTTGTTTTATCGGGGTCTAAAATCCTTGTAATAACCAGGGCCAGGGTCATATACAGATGGGTGCCTTGGGAAACACAGCTGAAAGGAAAGAATTTACGGGGAAAAGTAAAAATAAATGTTCCACGTGTTGTAAAGGGGACAAAAGATACAACAGTTTCTCCATGGCCTTCTATGCTGAAAAACATTCTACAAGGTGTTCCAAATAAATTGCTCCGTACGATCATGTAGTGGGGGGATACAACAGGTCTATCCCCTCTTCCCGATAACGAACCTGTACGGGCTGCCATGTATAAATACTTATTCCAGTCTGGTACATATATATATATATATATTGTATGTAGGAGTATTATAATGTCAATTATAAATGTTTATTCCACAGCCTGGTATGCGGGATGTTGATATTCTCTACCGTGTTTTCAACCCTAATCACCAGCCGTCCGTCTATTGGGAGGAATGACATCGTGACGATCCTTAAGACTAGCGGCCCTGCTAGTACTGGTCTCACCTTTATATGGTACGGAAGTTGTCATATTCTTACTAACATCTTCGATGTCCAATGTGTTCTGTTAAAGCCGTAATCAAAATAGTTTAATCAAAATAAATAACAGACTCTGTATGTAGTTTTAACATCTTCATATTTATTGCTTCATGGCTATGGTGCCTTATGATACATTAACAGAGTACAGGGTCAGTATACCCCTGTGTTATATCCATAATCAGGGCCTAGGCTGACAGTGCCTTATGATACACAGGGGCGTTTCCAGGTGAGGGCGTAATAGGCGTACGCCCCCCCCCCCCTTTTTAAAAAAATCCGTTACATTAGTGCATTTCACAATTATTTTATGTTTTTTAGCAAAAAACAGGTCCAATTTTTTTCCCTCGCTCCGCTCGGCGAAAGATTTGTTTCTACACCCCTCTTTCAAATATCCTAGAAACGCCCCTGATACAGCGTCAGTATGCACCTGTGTAATATCCATGATCAGGGCCTGTGCAGATAAACATACAGGCCTGTCTCAAACCGAATTTATTTCTGTCGTAATGGATAAAGACTCGACATTATTACACAAGGGTTCCGCAGATTCGATACGCATAGTCTCTCTCAACTCTTGTAATCATTTTCGAAATCCCAGGGGTTACGCTCACCTATGTTTTCAGCGCCCGTGGACTATGTCGTGACAAAATCGAAGGCTGTGTAAGCCCCACCTTGTGGCCCTTAATGACTTACATTGTCGGTGGGCTGTTAAAAAAAGCGCCACCTTGTTGATGATACAAATATACTAGTTTGACTGGTAATTGTTTTCACCTGAAATCAATCCAACAGCTAATCAGTTGCCTTCGATTTTGCCATGGAATATTCCAGATGTCCTGTTCCGACGATATGGAAGGATTGCAGTTAAATTAACTGACCAAACGTTAGTATGAAATGTGTCTTTGAAGGTTACAAAGACGCAACAGGAGGTCCCGTATTCATGAAATGTCAAACGATCAAAACAGTTTTTGGCTTTAAGTCTCCTCAATGTTTTTCCAAATTATTGACAAGATAAGATTTGTTTAATTAATTTATAACGCGAACAACAAATTCGGCTTGAGTACAAACTTCATGCTCTTAGCATGAGAAAGGGTTCATGAATACGGGCCACGGCTCAATGCTGGTGTCAGTTCTACCGTTACGGTGCTGCGCGATTCTTTTGATGTACATAAAAAATGATCAAATTAGTTTTTCTTGTATCATCCATAAGGTGACACATACAAAGCTTTAAATTTTGTTGTGACATATTTTAAGGGAATAGAGGTCATTTGCATACCGAGAGCGGAGCCTTTGGGTTTCAAAGAAGTCTTACGAACGGGCACTTAGTTTTATGGTGAACACTACTTATTATTTATATAATATTTCTGATTATAGTTCTGTCGGTCGTCAAGCTTAACATAAAATTAGTAGCAACAGATTTTTGTTTTCACAACTATGGGTATCTATGTTATGACAGAATAAAGTCTACCAAAATCAACCTTTTTTGGACAAACGATTTTTTCCCTATCTAATATCAAGGAATTATAAAGAAAGCCTTAATATACCAAAATATAGAACAAATGTCACTCTTAGTCCAAATTTTTCCGTACCTGGCCTTCTTTCTGGGCGAAAGTCAATGATTCTTTCAAGTAAAGTACAGAAAAGTCTGAAGAGGCAAAAAGTACGTTACTTGAACCAGTCGCACGTCGTTGACTTTCGACCTTTAGAAGACTAGGAGGCTGAAATATTGGAAATTATAGTAACATTTGTTCGATATTTTTTCATTTTTTTTTCCCATTTGGAAATCATCTTTTGTTTTCTAAATTTACCAGTTTTGAGGCGTAATAGTTATCTCTTGTGTAAATTCTGGGTATGAGAAGTCAAGTTGTCGCCAGTACAATATAGATTTGCCAAACAGTTTCAACTAAATTATTGCATTAATGATCCCTGTCACACTGCACTGTACATTATCTCCACCCCCCTTTACATCCGTGTGGATATAACTATGGGGTAGTTACATCAAGCCACTTCCGTTGAACATTTTTGTTTGACATTCATAACACTGTTTTTGATTATATTTTGTTTATTTTATCTTTATTATTATTTAACAAAGCTTTAGTCATGCCAGAAAAAAATAGCGTCCGGAACCGTCCTTAAATTCGTACACTAAAGAACAACATGCACAGTTAATAAACAATGATATATATTCATATATTGACTTTTAATTATTAACGTTATGTTACAGGATTCCTGTCCTGTTTTCAACATTGGGAACGTTTGGACGAGTTCTCGCCATTCTCTTCTTCTTTTGTCTGTCGTGTGCGGGAGTTACCTCCCTTATATCAAATATGGAGCTAGTTTGTCATACACTTGAAGATTTTGGGCGTAAGTACAATTACACCTCAAATGGAAACATATTTCATGTTAAAATTGATTTTGCTGCTATAAATCAGGAAGTCTGTATTGTTACTTCTATACCGTAGACCTAAAGAGACGTTCTGTAATTATTGGATGTTCAGAATAGATCAAAACTTCAATAATGATGTATTCGAGGTCCTACTCCTAACCTACTTTCTTGCACAGTACATACATCCCGGAGGGGATCGGCTGGGTTCGACAATTCTCCTTCCTGTTACAAAAGTGTCCGTGGCCCTACCTTTGGTGACAGGGAGTAAGCAGAACCCGGGTTTAAAATTGGGGATTGGGGTGGCAAATTATAATAACGGTCGCTTTCTAGGTCCTCGCTATAGAGGGAATTTTCTTATTAGGAGACAGTTAAGCTTGGAGTCACGGGTTTGAGTCCCGGTGATAGTGTACTTCTCCCTTTTCTGTTACAATATTATATCTTTTGACAAGAGTGGAAAGAAAGAAGAGAGCATGAAGAAGATGTAGGATCTTAGAAAAAACGTAAAAACTTTAAAATCAACTGTTGGGCGGGAGTGAAAATAAAGTTCCTCATTTCCCCATCACATTCTGTGAAAGGAAAATAGGTGGATAACGGATTAATTTGCTCTTTTGGTCATCTCTGAATTTACTGTTTGTGTTGTATGAGAGAAAATAATGTGCTTGAGTGAATTAACGACCGTCCGGAACCTCTCGATATCTTTTTTTGTTGTAGTGCCTCGGAAGTTTGGTATGCCCGGTACGGTATTGTTGCTCTTTGGCGTAGGTGTGATGTCAGCAGTCGACATCAACATATTGACCAATCAGGTATCGATATTTCTCTGTCCGTTTTTCTTTGTTGACTTGTTCTTTTTTTCTCTCTCTCCAAAACATTATCTTATCGGTGTTTCTATTTGTATCAGATACTATTCCGGTTACTGCTAAGAACTAATGATACCTTTGGTCTAAACCTAATCCTGTCCTGGTTTCCGCTTTGACCTCATCGTATCCTTAATCGTATAATGGTTTCCCTTTAAAACAACCTTATTTTTGGTTCTGTTTAGGACTTTGTGTGGGCCTTTGCTCTACTCATTAACGGACTTATGCTCCAGTTCCTTGTCGTCAAGTACGGTTTAAACAAGTTCCGACTGGATATGTTCAATAACTATGGGACTGATGACTGGAAACTCCCGAGCTTCTGGAAATGGATCGTCCTGTAAGTATACCGGGATTAGACACTAACTTAAGTACGGTGGGAGACAACAGAGCCCGTTCTCATGCTCAAACATGGATTCTGTGCTCAAACCAGATTTATTGTCAATCCCTAAAATCATATCAAACGATCAAAACGCATCAATTGTAAACATTAAAAACAGTAGTCAGCTTTAAGTCTCTTCAGTTTTTGTCCAAATTGTTGCCAAAATAAGATTTTTTTAATGATTTATAACCAGATCAAGAAATTTGGCTTTAACACATAATCCATGCTTGAGCGTGAGAACGTTTCATGAACAAGGGGGCCTGATCTGTTCACGTGAAAAAAAATGGCGGAGCTCTTAAAATCATGGGGTCCTGATGAACATTATCTGGACCTCATCAGGAAAGCGGAAGGATGAGCGCTGTAAATGCAAATGCTAGGTAAAGAAGGTACGGGGGCATGTCTCAGAAGGTTTTAAAACCTGGAACATATCATCCTCGAGACTTCAGGGTTTAAGCTCACTTACGCTCTCGGTACCCCTGGACTATGTCATGACTAAATCGGAGGCGACGAAGGACACTTGCTTGGTCCTTTGGTGTACACAAAACTAATCACGCGTTAGAGTATCGGTAACATTGACTGGCTTGGGAAATGGGCGTCGCACCTTTGTATTCTCCAAAGGAGTAGAATCAGCCTAGCGATTGGTCATTTATTTTACCTGAGACCGATCAAACATCTAGCAACGTGCCTTCAATTTTGCTATGACAAGGTATATGGTCGATTCTGATCTATTTCATATTAATCTTCAATGTGTGAAATATGTAGTAGTTTGTTTAAAATATTATACTAAATATATTCTCCCCTGACGACATGATTAGGCTTCTTATCTGCAATGCCAGAAAATGTTGCTGATATTTCGATGTTTCGAAGCATCAGGCATACAATAACCAAAAAGATTGGGCCCAGAAGGCCACCGAAGGACCGAACATCAACAGGCCCATCCCAAGATTTTTTAGGAGCCTCGGGTTCAGGTATTGCATAAGTGTCAAAGCCTGTATACGAATCTCTTGATACTATCAATGTAGTTGAAATGGACTAGGTTCAAACTACTTTGCAAATTCTTAAGTAAAACGGAAACTGTGCTTTAGTTTTCAGAACGCCGTTCTTGATTGAAAAGGGTCTTTTGTTCGAATCATGGTCTTTTCCGCTATCTTTTCCTGCAGTTCAACATCTGAAAGCTTAAACTATTAAATATTTTAACATCATTTATGGTTGTTATTAAGTATTACACGTATCACTCTCTTATCGGCACTAGATCCGCGCTATCGCAAGGAGGCTAATACACCAGCATACCCTGCATCCAGCACACATACACACACACATTTCACACATGTACACATTTTATTTGTTAATAGGACGTTAAACAAAATAGAAACAAGCTTAACCTAGTAGCTAGACCGTTGTCACGTTGTGACGTCACGGAGTATCTAGCTACTGTATACAGGGTATGACATTTCAAAGAACTGGCCCGTTAAAGGGATCCTTAAGTTACCCCTTTCGGTAGGAACACGTCTTCAAATGATCTCAGTCGTTCTGAGGATACGAAACCCTAAAAAAGCGAAACAAATCAAAAGTAAACATAGCATGGCAGAAGGAACGGAAACCTAAACTCAGATTGAAGCTGACAGTGTATATTTCTGATATTTGGGTGTTGTCTTCCAGGATTATCGCCCCTATAGAGGCATTTGTCATCTTGGTGTGGTGGGTAGTGGACTTGATTCAGGACGAGGATGATGCAGATGATAAGTGGTACGAGTTCGGGACGGAGACTTTCATGGTGACAATAGTACAGGTAAGTACAGATAAGACACTTCGGTACAAACGTCTTGATGTCGACAGTTATACAGGTAGCTATAACTCTTACATCGCGATCTTCATTTGTTTCCAAATATATCAATAGGTAAAAGTAAAACAGTTCGGCATTTAAATCTCAATAAAGTCTTATAAGTCCAACAGTACGGCAATGATATATCTATCGTTAGAAGTTTACAAAAACTAGGTACGATTGTTACAGTTCGGCACCAATATCTTCATTCTGACAATGATACATAGGTCGAATTGCAACATTTCGGCACATGGAACTTCACTGTGATAATTCAACGAGTCGGTGTAATATATAACAGTTAGACACCTACATTTTCATTGTGATACGTATACCAATAAATAAAGTTGTAAAAATTCGGCATAGAAAATCGCCATTGTGATAATTAAGCAATAAGGTACAAGGATAACAATGTATTATTGATTGTTGAGTGATTGTCAGATTAATTTTATGCAAGTTTTAGAAGGTTTGACACTGGAGCGAGATGTTACGTTACGGGATTATATGGTTCTTATATGGTCCCTGCAGGTAGGGCGTACGAATTGTACCTTCTGCCCCCATTGCATAATCGTAACAGGCGACTAAATTTGGGATCTTATATTTTCTCTTCTTTCTAAACAACTTTTTTCTTCCTAATGTCTCCCTTGACAATGCCTCACTTTTGGCCTGTGAGGAAGGCTTTGGGTTCTGCCCCCTGGCCGAGACATACCAGAGTCTGTAAAAATGGTAGTTTCTACTCCTGCTTAACGCTCAGTAATTTAGGAGTTGGACGACTGGTTTGCCCGTTATCAGTATAATGTGACGGGATGGGGTGTCCTGCTGGGTGTCTTCGGCAGTATGTTTCAGTGAGGTAGCACTATCACAAGGAGACAAACACGAACATATCGCAGCCTCCCATAACACACATACACTACACGCATGCATCATGCACAACAGGGAGACCGTCCTTAAATGACCATAGCTGTTGATAGGACGTTAAACAATACTAAACCAAACCAAATCAAACTAGTTTCCTATATGAAAGGACGTGATAATAAGTCTGTTTGATCTTGAATTGCAGTGGATTAGTCTGGCACTGTTTGTAATCCTGATCAACATGATGTGGCTCTACTGTAAAAGACTATACGGAAAATCGGACGAAACGATACGACTCCTAGGACACAACCGGAAGTCCTCAGCAGGGGAATTGGATTTCCATCGAAGTGTGGGAGTCCCAGCCCAGGAAATAACTGTGAAGGATGTAAAACTTTGATGTTGTTTGTTAATTCAGGGCGCGTGCAATATTAGACCTTTGACCTTTACTGAAAACTCATTGATAAACAATAACACGATTGGTGTTAAACCATGTATGTGCAATATTTCCATTTCCAACTGAAAAGAAAACGATTGTGTCTTTAATGATTTGTTTGATCAGTTTGGTATATGTTTTGGTAGACAACAAAATGCAAAACAATATCTAAAAATCAGAGTTGTGTGAGCGCGTTGGTAAATGTTGCTGGTGCCAAAGGAATGTGAACTGTTTGTTTTTGGTGTTCCTAAAATATTCAGGTATATGTGTGCCTAGCTAAAATTATGTGAATTGTTCTTTACTTATGTCCCTAGCCAAGGTTATGTGAACTGTTTTATATTCGTTTCTTTTGCCAAAAAAATGTGAACCGTTTGGTCGTGTGTCTCTAGATATTTCTAATATTTGTGTCCTGGCCATTCACTATACTACAGTGGCTACTCTCGCTTACGTCCTCTGCACACCTGACATATATCATAACACAATTGAAGGTTCTATACACGCCCTCTGGCGAATGATACAAAGTAGAATAGGTTGTTTCTTTGATGTACATAAAAAACAGCGCGGCAGCAGAACGGTAAAAATTGACTGGCTTTGAAGTCGGGTGTCGCGACTTTGTGGTCTCCAAAAGATCGGTATCAGCCATGCGATTGTTCAGAAGACCATTCAAATAGCTAGCCGTGTGTCTTCAATTTTGCTATGTCATATTCCAGGGTTGCAGAGAGCGTAAGTGAGTATAACCCTTGGAGTATCGGATATGTTCTCTAGCCAAAATGATATGAACTGTTTTGTATTTTTGTCCCTAGCCAAAACGATGTTAACCGAGGGAGAAAAAATGACCAACTGTTGGTGTCCCTAACCAAATTAACCTGACTTATTTGTTTGTGTCAATAGCATGTTTTTGAATTTCTGTCCATACACAAAATGACCAACTGTTGGTGTCCCTAACCAGATTAACCTGACTTATTTGTTTGTGTCAATAGAATGTTTTTGAATTTCTGTCCATAGACAAAATGACCAACTGTTGGTGTCCCTAACCAGATTAACCTGACTTATTTGTTTGTGTCAATAGCATGTTTTTGAATTTCTGTCCATAGACAAAATGACCAACTGTTGGTGTCCCTAACCAAATTAACCTGAATTATTTGTTTGTGTCAATAGAATGTTTTTGAATTTCTGTCCATAGACAAAATGACCAACTGATGTTAATGTTAAGTTTGTTTATGAAACGATTTTTTTTGTATTTATGTTCATAGCCTAAATCAATAACTATTGGGTGTCCCTAGCAGATTTATGTAGATTGTTTATTTTAAATTTATGTTCATAGAACTTTCTTGTATTAGGGTACATAGTTAAAATGATTAACTATTTGGTGTCCCTAACCAAATTGATGTTTCTTGTATTTGTGTCAAACTGTTTCCTTTGTACCCCAAGCCTTAGTTACGTGAACTGGTCTTCTGTTCATAGAATCTTCATGTAAACGTGTCTGCAGCCAAAATAATAAGACATGTTTGGTATTCTTGGTTCCAATCAAACTGATGTGAACTGCTAGATATGTTGTCAATAGCCAACATTTTATTATCATTTCGGTGTATCTGTCACCATTACAAATGATATGAGGTATCTGTCTGATAGAAGAACGACATGAAAGATGTTGGAACATAAGTGCGTCAAAGCTGAATGACCTTATTTTGTCTTGTTCTTGTGTATTTGTGATCGTAGCCAAAAGAATAATAGGAGGTGTTTGGTATTCCTGTCCCTAGCCAAACTGTCATATCTCCTTAATTATAGACAAAAATAATACGAGCGGTTCACATCAGGTCATACTGAATTTTATTATATGCATGAACATTTCTCGCAATCACATTGGTCGGATCCTATACACGTGACCAGTCCTCAAAAACTCATGTAGACTGATTATCCGGTTAATATCGATTTCTAAATATAGCCTGTATGGAAATTCCCCGGAACCTGTCCTAGCACATGCGCAGTTAGATTGGAACGCGATCTGTCAGACGACATTAGAACATGATTGCTGGCGAGCGTTTCTCCTCCGTTAGGAAACATTACCAAAACTATTCGAGGATAAAGATGCTGTTAGCGTAAAAAAGGCCATTGAACACGCAGTGCATGTCCTCCATGCTTATCCTGAGAAAAATAATCAAGACTATGCCTTCGAAAGCTACAATGATGAACTGGTGTATTCAAACCTGGCTAAAATTTACACGGAGGCACGCGTACAAAAATCAGAACTTTAGTTTAGTTTAGTTTTATTGAAAGGGTTAAAGAAATATGCCCTATGTGACCTGCCTTGGGCAACTTTGTTTATCAAGTGAGGGAACACTTATTATATCTTATATATACATCCAAGCCTAGAAATTATAACCGCAGCTGTGGATGTCTTGTTGGTACATGAGTCAATGCATTTTTTTTTTGTATGTTTCTGTCTCCATTGGTTCAGATAAAAAAGTCACGGATGCAATTTGATGTTTAGGATCCCTGTACCGTTGCCAATTAAATCGTTGGAAACTGTTTTATACGGTCTGACTGTAGCTTTGAAAAATAAATTCCGAAAAAAACGATACCTTGCGAGACTTGTTTGATAAATGATAAAGATGAACTAAACAAAATACAATAAACAAAAGGGTCCGATGAGTGAAAAATAGTAAGGCTAGACCGGGTATTCGAGAGCTGAGCATCATTTTGTATTGACATTGCTCTAACCGATTGAGCGACCTAGTCAACGGAAGTGCCATGGCCCAATTGTGCTACAGTTATATCGAAACGGAAGTTAAGGTGAGGTTACTGTATATAAGAAAATCATCAGTGCAGTGGGGACAGGGATGCATAAGTAACAGTAAATGATGAAAAAAATCAAATAAGCCATATATCTGAAAAATAATGACATATTTGTCTTTACATCTATTTGTAAGTAGGAAACAACTTCGATACATGAATGCCGTGAACCGATTGTTGACGTCATCATTATTATGACGTCATAATTGTTACGTTAGATACCAATGACCCTCCCTTGGCGATAGCTGTTCTATTCATTGAACAAACACACACGACACATACATTATTTGAACTTAACGCTGAATAATATTAAGTGTAATTGAATCTATTAGATGAACAGATTCGAAAAATGGTAAAATATGTATAAGAACTGCTTTCAGTTGGCATTCATAGGCAATATGAGATTTAACTGGACAAAGGCAACTCCAACATGAAGCGCTAGCTCTTCATCGAATTTGTCTTTGTCCAGTGGTCATTCATATTGCCTATGAATGCCAACTGAAAGCAGTTCAATGCTTCAATAAAATAACCTGATAATCTGAACACCGGGAAACTTTTGCAGAGTCAGTAATAGGGATGTACGTACGGTCAAATTCTGTAAACATTGTGTGAATGTATTCGACCCTCCCCCTAGTTTCATCTGAGTCCTAGAAGGACGAAACAGCTGTATGATGCAGTGTAATTCATGTTTGGCATACTGTATCTATTACTAAAGGTCATTCATATGTGTGTTTGTGACGTTCATCTTTCATAATCTGAACAATCTTGTTACGATAAAACTAAAAAAAAGTTAAATATATATAATTTTAATATACAACCAAACCAAAATTACACAATATTTGGTAAATCAAAAGTTACGACATACGTGTTTACGTTGAATTTAATACATTATTCCTAGTTTCACAAAGTCTCTCAAAAATAGCTTCCCAGGAAACTTCTAAAGCGCCAAATAAAATAAATTGAATTTAGTGTTTTCAAAATGGTCAGCGCATACATTTGTACTTAGATGTTTCTCCTAATCAGGGGCTGCGGTGTCGAGTGGTTAAGTTGTGTGACATCTTTGATCAATAACCCTCAACCACTGAGTCGCGGGTTCGAGGCCTACGTCGGGCACTCGCTTGGCACTGACCGCAAATCGATGTTTTTTCTCAAGGTATTCCGGTTTTCCGCCACCACCAAAGACAAACAAACCAAATCTCTATACAGTACATCGAATCCATGAATTAAATGTCATTTACACTTGTAATAGATAACTTGATATGCGGTAACACGATATTTTTTGAAAATATCAATTATAACTGTGTTGATTATTGATTGACCACACTGTACTTCAAGAAATCAAATATACATGAAAAGGAAATCTGCCATTAACCAGAACTGATCTTCAGGTGTGCATAAAGCTAAACATGACCATTTTAAACTTTACAAGATCTTGGATTATTGGCACCTAGTTAATATGTTATTATCATTAAATTGTGTCACAACTGTTATATTGGAAGAATAAAATTAGCATATTAATATGCTTGAAGCACATGTTCAAACGTTTGATTTCTCCTTCAACGACTAAATGTGTACTTCTTCTTTAGGAAGAGTTTGATGGTTTTGTTTCTGAAATGTTTATTGCATAAGATGTAGATAACGGGAGTTAAAGCGCTGCGCAAAAACTGAAAGGACGCCTTACCGCTTTTGATTAGCGTTTCATAGTAGTTGGTCTGGATATAGCGAATAATGACTATCACACAGTAGGGAACGAATAAGACCATGGGGAGGAGAGTCACGAGGAAAAGCATCAATGTCGTCTTGTACATATGTCTTCTTTTGATCATTTGTGTTCTATTTTCGCGCACCTTTGACAAACAGATGATTTTATATGCTACACATATATAGCAGAAGATAAGAATAACGTCAATCAGGAGACCCCCGGCCAACAAGACACTTGTGAAGATCAGCGGCAGATTTGAGGTTGTGTACCCGTCTTCAATCAGACAGAGGTGCATCTTGATGCAAATGTTCGGGAAAGAAGTTTTCATGATTCGTGTTTGCGTTCCATACAACACTGCTGCTGGGAAGGCCGCCACAATTGCCATGACTACGGCTACTGCAACGGCTATCTTGGCATGAATATTGGTCTTTGCCGGTTTTAGAGGATCACATATCCTACATTGTAATGTATCTATTAATTGCTATAACTAGCAGAGTGAAGGACGAGGAGTTGTTCATCAGGAAAGTGAACATCCGTGCAAATTTGCAACGTGACGGATGATTAAATTGTACAACGTTCAATATGATATCGATTTCAAACGCCATGGAAACACAAATACAAAGGTCAAACGCCGCTAACGCCATGATAAATAACCGGGTCGTTGTTTTACGCCATCTTCGCCAATAAACGTAGAAAACGACCAGGTTCCAGGGACACCGATCACAAACATCATAATTGTGAACACTAAGGATGGCATTAGAATCTCCTCAACGACTTTATCGTTGATGCTGTTTAGTACTTTGTCAGGGGCAAATATGAGGCATGTACTTGGATCCGGCGTTGGCCTTGCGGTAGTCACATTTAAGTCCATCGTTGAGTTCCATGTAGGCAGCTTCGCGTTTATTGCAGTCGAAATGTAACTTTCCGTTGTTATAGCATCGCCTGTAATCCAAAGCGACGATGTATCTCCAAACGTTGAGGTCAAAGTGTAATTCATTGGGAGTGTTACGTTCTCCGTTGGCGGTGTTGTGATATTTGCAACACCGGTCATCTGCAAGAATAAAATAAGAAAACAGTATAAAAATTGTTGTATTATTGGTGTTATGATACAACTATTATCTTACTATAAATATAAAACACACACATGTTTTTAAATTAACCTATTTCTTTTTATAAATATATAATTTAAACACAGAATAATTACGCCAGGTAGTTCAATCCTTTTAACCTTTCAGATTTGCATATTCTAGTGTATATGATACATTACCGTTTTCACATCCTCGAAATCCCCCAGGTTACGCTCACTAAGTGCATTTCCTACACCCCAGGAATACGTCATAATGGAAGAAAAGGATGCCATTTCCATGTCAGGCGGTGCTGATCGGCAAATGTACGCTTTTATTGATAGCGTCATGTTATCAGTATTACTTCAAAACGTTTACAGATCAAATTTAATCCCTGT